TTTGTTTCAGTAACATCTAGTTGAAGCATTTGAATTTAAATATAAATAATATTGTACTTGTACTATATGCATATATATATGTTTATATATATGTCTACAGATATATATATATATACACATATGTCTGTATATATATAAACCTTTTTTCAGTCCTAATTTGCCTCTAACCCAACTTTTAAAGACCAAACATTCATTTCTTCATCACCAACAACACCTGGTCTTTCTTTGCCTGTTAAGAAAAGGTTCAGTCATTATGGTTTTTATTGAAGTTGAAAAAAATGTACCAATATTTTGGAAAGCGGTTCTGAATTTAATTCATTTTCATTAGGTTTTCTTTAATGAGAACACAAGCTCTGGGATCAGACATGCGGCTTCATCTGAAGAGGCTCCGTGGTGAACAGAAGCAGCTGAAGCCCTGCATCAAATTATGCAAACCCCTCAGTCTCATCCATTTGTTTTCCTTCTCTTCTCTATCTTCACAGCATTTCCATCAACATGTTTCCTCGCCTGCATCTTCCCTTCTTTATATGAGAGGCAGAGGGAGAAGTGGGAAGCTGCCCATTAATTGCTTTGGAAAAGGGAAGGGTGAGAGACAGAGATAGAAGGAGGGGGAGAGAGAGGGAGAGAGAGAATGAGGGAGCTGCACAGCCAGATGCACCAGCGGAGGCAGAGCTGAGGTTTTTTTTTTTTTTTTTCCCCTGCTCTCTCTTGTCTCTTTTGTTGTGTCGGCACAAATAAAAATCTAATCAACGTCAGCAAAGACCACCACCACTGCCTAATCCACCTCTCTCCACACACCTCATATCCTGTCTGTTTGCCAGAGCTGGATCCCAGTGTGGAGCTGGGTGTGCGGCAGGCTATCGCCTGGCTATCAGAGGTCTGCAACGGCTCTGTGGCAGCAAGACGAAGAAGAAGAAGAGAAGCAGCAGGAGGAGGAGGAGGAGGAGGGAAAACGGAGGAGGGGCTGTGGTGGGCTTCCTCTGCCTCACAGACACATTATATTGACTTGCTAATTGGATGAGGCATTCGGAGGAGAGGATGCGGTGACCGCGAGGAGATGCTCTCCAGAGGAGGGATACAGGCAGAAGAAAGCGTTGCTTGGTTTGTACAAATCCTGCTACTTCATCCCAGAGCAGAAAAACCTGGAGGCAGAACAACAGATGATTTTCACCATCGCACCACCGTGACCCTCACACTGTGCTTTCATAATTGTATGCATGACATTGTCTAATGGAGGCTACAGCTGCCAGACGCTGCGTGACAAGTGAATGATTTCCATTTTGAGGCTTTTCCTGCCTGGTCCCTCTCACCTGTTTTCCTGCACTCATCAGATGGAGGTCTTTTTCCGTCTGCCTTCTTTGATGTGTCATTTGATATGAACAGTAATCTGATGGTGAGACAGATCCTCCGTCAAGTGAATCGTACATGGAGCCGTACAGTGAATTATCATCTGGAAAAATGAAGGTATGATATGAAAGAAGAGCATGACACACACACACACACACACACCACAGTCAGGTGTCATTATCCAGCCAGTAATGAGCCCAGTCCAGTACTGTATCAATGGAACATAATTCAATCAGGCTGAAAGTCTCAACCCTGGTGCAAGAAATGTTTATATATATATTTGTGTCATCTTTTATTTGGGGATAAAAATTGACTTTTAATAAAAAAAAAATACCAAGCAGACTCTAAGCAGTGAGGGATTATGAATGAATCAGTGGTAGAGAGCAGTAGTAGTCGTATGCACTGAAGAGGATCAATGGAGGCATTTGAACAACAGTCTAGACTTGTTTTACACCAGGGTCAGCATTTTAAATGTTTTTTTAAAAAAGTCAGATTGAAGCATTTTCATGTGGGATTGACTCCTAGTTTCTTTCCATCAGAGGATTCTGAAGCAGAGCGGTCTTTTCTGAACAGCAGCCTGTTGTCTGCAGTCCTCACTAACGCTCCGTTTGTCTGACGTTTAATCTGTCTTCTCCTTTGCTTCAGTCCTCGCCTGGTTGTCATGCCCGGTGTGTGTAGAACTGGCCACATCTGAGTGCAGGTGCCACCACTAGATGTCCGCTGTCCAAATGGACAAAGAGGGCAACCCGCAGAAACGCACCACCTACCTCATCTCCCTCACTCTGGTGAAGGTTGAGGCTCTGCCCGAGGACGGAGATGGAGCTGAGGATGTAGCCGGGAACCAGAAGGAGGCTCTCCCAGAGGGGGAAGGGAGTCCTGGGAAGGAAGTTGAGGAGACACAGGATGTTAGCTGTGTTCCTGATAAGGAAGGAGGAGTTGTACGGCCAGAAGAGGTGGAGAAAGAACTCTCACAGGTGTGCAAAGAAGAAGAGCCAGCAGAAGAAGAGGTGGAGGTGCTGCAGGTGAGGCATGGCACCCCCACTGAGAGCAGAGGCAAACCTTACAAGTGGGACACCCACATCCCCCATAAAGACTTTTCCGGTAAAAGCAAAGACACTCCTCTGGTTCACGCACCCGTCAGACAAATGGTCAAAGTGTACGGAGGGACTCTGTCTGAGGGACCTGTGCGTAGAGAAGGACATCGCTCCGAGGCTCTGCGTCCTAAGACGGAGCTCTACCGAGAGCCGCCCGTGCTTTTTCTCAAGGGTGAGAATGGAGCAGACCTGAGCAATCGCTCGCGTTCCAGTCTCCCTTTCTCCATTCCACCCCAGGTCAGTCCCCGTCCAGAGGTAGTGATGAGGTCACACACAGGAGGCACCTCCGTAGGGTGGAGGGAGCCGAGAGACGTCAACACAAACCTGTATCACTGCGCCAAGACCATGGAGCGCAGGGATAACTGGGAGCATTCCACCTCAGCCACAGCCACGACCCTGGGGCCTTACAGGGCGTCCTGGGCTGACAGTGATGGCAGGGGCACACTTATCCGCCCGGGAGCGCCTTCTAGTGGAGGGTATTCTGGAATCATGGCACGAGAGAGTCCACAAGGAGAGAGATACAAGGCTGTTTCAGTTTCCCTGCCTACGCCTCCCGTGACGGACGTGTTCAGGCCTCAGAGGAAAGGTGTCAGCTGCACACTGGACAACAGTGACCTTCACTCTTTCTCTGATGACTTTAAGAAGGGGAAGGAAGGAAGTCAGGGAGGAACGGTGCAACGAGCACCTCCTCGAGACCGAAAGATGCTCAAGTTCATCAGCGGGATATTTACCAAAAGTACGCCTGTGCCGCCCACTGTCAACACGCCGCCACCGCTGTATCCAGCCGTGGAGAGAGGCTCCAGTGAAGAGGAAGGTGAGTTCACCTCATTTACAGCAACGGTTCCTAAAAATGATACTAAAATTTAAAAATAATTATTATTTTTTTTTTTTTAAATCACTCAACAGATAAAAGTGATTTAGAGATATTACGGTAATTTCTAAACTGTCTCAACAGATAAAAGTGATTGAGAGATATTACGGTAATTTCTAAACTGTGACGTTCCTCAGTTGCTGCACCAGGGCTGGGTATCATGACTGATTATAAGAGCAGGATCCACAGAAGCCTCTGTCTCTGCCAGCAGTAAAGGCCACAGTCTGTGTTAAACTCTGCAAGATAATTCTGTGTGAATTAAATATTTACAGCCAGTTGGGAGAAAATGTAGGTTTTTCAACACCTACAGAACCAGAACCAGAACCAGAACTGTGAAAGTTGTTTTTTTCCTCGATTTCTCTGGACATTATTTAAAATAAAAAAAAGTCAAATTCTACAAGATCAAGATGAAAAAGACAATCCTAACAGTTTGCATTGAAATGTTCACGAGCTCCTGTAAAAGGTGGTGTGAGTGGCCAATCAGAGCCTTCCTCGTCTGCCTTCTGAACAGAGTCGGCTCAAGCAATTTCAGTTGCCAAGGTCAGATTATGACCTAGCGCCCCCTATTGCTCCCCACCTCCTTGTAATTGTTTTTTTCTACTCAGATGGGGTCACCCCTATGTGACCTACGCCAGGAGCTGACTCTGAGTCCAGATCTCACTCCTGTTTTAAAACGGTCTTGACCCTCAAGAAGAGAAAAAGAAACACACACACAGTGAACATAAAGTACTTTCAGTCACATGACATTGTGACCTCATGTTGAAGTTGTGGTCGGGAGTGAAAACAGTGAAAGAACTTTCTTTGTGTTTGACATGTGAAAGGCACAAAGACAACGTTAGCGAAACTGGGATTTGAACCCATGACTTTCTAGCACATACCAAATCCTGGCGTCCTTATTGTAGAAGAACACTAACGTTGGGATTTCTTCAGCTGTGAGAGATCCTTTACCCTCACCCAATGCATAGCTAAGCAGAAATGAGAGGAAAGCCTCAGTAAATATCCTGCTGTTGGTCAGAGCACGACCGGAGGAGAAACACAAAACTATTTTTATCGTGATGACGCTCGCAGAAATCCAGCCACGCGCAGGTTCACTCTGTCCAACGTTTCTTACTTGGAACAAAGTTCACCCACTGAACTGAACATTATAGTCGATGTGATTAAACCAAACCAAATATTTATTACCGTGTATACTGCCCCCTCTGGACTCATCTGGACCTGGCTCTGGTGATACATTACTTAGCTTTAACATCCCACTGTCTCGGGGCCGTGGTAGAGACGTAGACACAGATGCAGTATCCACCGTCAGGTGAGGTTGAATTTATTAAAGGTATTTACCTGCAGCTTGTCTTTTAAATTAGCTGGAAAACTTGTAAATGAAATGAGCAGAGATTAAGCTGTGTTTAATGGCTGCACACATCAGCACTGCATCCAAAAGAAGAAGAAGAAGAAGAAGAAGAGTTTGTCAAGTGGAAGACACTTTACTAGAATATTTACTAATGAAAATAAGAATTTATTCAAACTACTAAGGGAAAATTCATTATTATTATTATTATCAATAACAACAGCAACAACAACAATAATAATAATAATAAAGAGTATTAAAATTAAAAGTG